ACAGTCTGTGGCCCATTGTGAGTTTAATGCTATTGAGCTTATATGGGCTTATGTTAAAAAAAAGATTGCAGCAAATAATAAAAATTTTGAAAGTAATGACGTGCATGAACTGTGTAAAAGTGTTATGAACTTGGTGCCACCAACGCTTTGGGAAAATTCAGTTCGACATGTTGAGGAAGTAGAAAAAACCTATAGACTGACAGGCAATCACATTGAACGAGAAATTGAACCGTTTATTATATCGTTGAATGAAGATGATTCTTCCGATGAAAGTAGTGATCCAGACGATATATAAAACTTTTCGTGTTTGTTTATATAATTAATATTGTTTACTTTTTGTAAATTTTAAAACTAACTTGAACTTTTTACTTGGACTTTTTTAAAACTAATCTTTTTTTCTCAATTTTTTTCATAAATATGCTTAAAAAATAATGATTGAATTCAATTTTCTCGCAAATCCATTTGCGTATGCACTGTTGAAATTAACTTAAATAAAAAATTAATGTTATTAATCTTTAATTAATCTGTCTTTTTAGAGAAGATTTTTTCCTCTGTATAATGGAACTGAAACATTTTTTTATTTAAATCCTCACCATTAAACATTTATTTATATTAATTTTTTAAAAGTATAATAATTAGTAATTTTTTAAATAATAAATGTAATTTGATTATAAAATAATAGTAATGTGAAAATCAATTTTTTTAAATAATCAAATATTTTTCAATAGACATTTTTAAAAGAAAAAATTTTTTATTGCTAATGTAATAAATTTATTTATTTATATTTTATAAGTACCAATTAATTTGGAAATTAAATTATTTGTGTTTATAAAAAAAATTTATTTAGTTTAAATAAAAAAATAACGTTGTCTTTAAAAAAAGATGTCATTTATACGTGATGTACAAATTATTCCTTTGGGCCTTGCATCACCATATATATACATCCCTGATAATTTTTCGTGAAAAAAATTCTGAGTCCAGGCGAAGGAGTTGGATGGGATCTAATTTATGGCAGCCTTAGCAGTTCCATTCAAGAAAAAATGGCATGCCACTACCCTTTTTCACCTGTTCCTTGAAAAAAACTGTCCAAAGAAATGACCAAAATCATAAGAATAACGATAATTACACTTTTTTCAATAAACTAAATTAATTACTGGGTTCAATATTTATGCTGAAAAATTCGATTCATTAAAATCAGCCCAATAAATCCAGAGATAACATGATCTTTTTTTCATAATAAAAACAATAATTATTAATATTTTTTAAAAATTTAAAAACAACTTTATTCCCAAGGATTTAAGGAATAATTAATACATTTTTTAAATTTTTTCAACAAAGATTTTCATATAAAAGTGTCATACAAATTCAGTTAATTTTCAAAGTGGCCAAATATTGGGTGCAATTTGCTTTATTTTTGCTTATGTTAGGAAGAAAAAATTTTTTTAAGAAACCACCTTCCGTATACAAGCTTTTGAGTTTTCAAGCTTTCCAAACATTGTTTTCATTTTTTTCCAGCAATTTTTTTGACAGACTTATTTAAAGTGAAAGTCTGTCATTTTTCAGGGGCTTTGAATTTTCTCGCGGATAGTAAGCACAGTAGCATCAGTAAATGATATGAACAAATTGACTAATTTTTTAAGGGCTAACACTGGCAAAAATTGCGTTCCACTTTTTTATCGCGATCATACTTCGAAGCAGTCAAAACTCTTAGAAAATATGTATTAAAATGCTGCTCAGAAGTTTGATACTGAGAAAAAATTTAAGGAAAATAGACCGGTTGTATAGGCTGATACTGTATAATTATTTGAAGCTGTAATGGAAAAACGTAATATTACAGGAGTAGTTTATGTTAATCATGAACGGCCAACAAACAGCTTCAGCAAGGTATCCTTGCGAGAATTTTATAAAACTTGGTGGAATTAAAAAAGACGCTAAGAATTTTCACAGCACAGTAAATCTTCTTCTCATAGAAGAAGAAAATCATGTTATCGTTATTAAGAAATGTGTCGTACCTGAACTTCATGTCCTTCAAGGATTTGTGAACCACCTATTTTGCAATGGGTTGGTTCCTCTTGTTGGAAGAAATAAAGCATTAGTTTGGCCAAAAAAGTTTAAAGTAATCCCTAAAAATTATCATTAAGAAATATTTGAGGGAAATGCTAGCCGAAAAATGTTAAAAAATGCTGATGCTCTTCTTGATTCCGAGATCTATGTAGATGTGGGTTACTTTGCACTGATTCTCTGTGTATCTGCTTGCAAAACAATGGACAAGGTGGTCAATTGTTGCTTTTCAACAGAAAAAGTAAAACTGAATCTAAATGAGTATCTCGATGAACTTAAGAAAGCTTTTGAAAGCACTGGGTTGTCAAACCCATTGAAGAGTCAGGTAATTTTTGAACATTTAAAACATTCCATACATCCTTTAAAGAATATGGGATTGGGCTTGTGGTCTGAGCAAGCAGGCGAATCATTTCCATCGAGAATTTTTAAACACATGGAAAAACTATACAATTAATTTGATAGACGATCCTGCATATGCAGAAAGATTGCAAAAGGCCGACGTAGAATTTTCCTCTTTACGCATTTGAAATCAAATTTCATTGAGATTTGTCAAATTTAGATTATTTCAATTGTATCAATAATTTATTAACAATTTGAAAAAGTACCTAATAAAAACAAAACAAAGAAAGCAAAAATAAAAAAAACTTTAAAAAAATTAAAATGGAGCTAAATAGTACTCTCTACGTCCACGTCGTTAGCTCTGAGTAATGCCGAAGGAGAGTATATATCCTGTTAATAAAGTGTTTAAAGGGTTTTTGAATTATCTTGAAAACACGAACAGGTAGGATTTTGGTACTATTTTAGTACTTTTTTTACAGTGTACGCAGGGAATCACTGATATATATTATTAGAAAAAAGATTTACCTTGTTTTTAATGCTGGGAGTTACTGAGTGGTAAATTTAAAAAATATCAATAAAATAAATATATTAGATCATTCGATGAAATAATTATTAGTATCTCTTTAGAGTTTGCAGCAGTTTTGTTTGTCTATGTGTGTACGTATATGAATATGAAATATATGTGTAGGTGTGAGTATGTGTGTTTACTCATTTAAACTATTATACTGGATTAATTGCTTAAAATGATTTTTAATTTTAATTATTTCTTATGTATCTTTAAAACGCGATCAGGTAGGATTTCAATCAAAAATGATTCTTACAATTTAAAACACACAGAAAAAGATGTCACTAGCAGATTTCTTTGACATTTTTGTCAAACTTGTTTGCCGCTGAGGAACACTGTGAGCGGACTCATGCGCAGAAAATCACGACGATTTTGAAGTCAACACTGTTCGATGAAAAATTACTCCTATCTACTTTTCTTCACTATATCTCGTAAATGGTCCTTTCCATAATTATCTATTCCTATTCTAGTTAAACATTCGCATTGTGGCATCATTTGTTGAAAGAAATACACAATGGATTCAACCGACAAATATCTGTTTGAGCCCGTATTAGAAAAGGCACTAAAAAGATCATTTTTTGACACTTCTTATTCCAATCTAATGCGGTAAAGATATGGACATCTTTTTCGTAAGTAATGAATGTATCGTTCCATACGAATATAACCTAACATGTGAAACGTGAGTAATCTAATATGAAAATAAAGATTGTTCTGAGTTTGATGATTGAACTGTTAATGTTTAGAAGTTGTTAACAAGATAAATTAAGAACTTTGCATTTATATATTCATTAATATATCCACCAATCCATCTGTAAAGACATCTATCCAATATCCAAATATATTCATCCACCTATTAATCCATCTATTTAACCATCTATCCATCCGTTTAGGTATGCCGTATTTATGCCTTATAAAATCCCCTGCCCAGCAAGTTTTAACGACATTTTTGTTATTTGTTTAAAAATTCGTCGGACATATTGGATACGCCATTTTGTTTTTTTGGTTTTCCTTACCTAAAAACCTTCAGGTATCAAGCAACAACTATTTTTGACTGATTTATTACAATTTTTTATTATTTGTTTAAAAATTCGTCGGACATATTGATTTTCCAGATTTTAATGTTTTTCATACGTAAATTGTTAATTAGATTTTGCAGAACTATTAATTATCTGTTGACGATCTTTTTTAACTGTATTTTTCTTAATGTGTTTTCAAGAATAAACTATTGCCTTGTAATAATTTACATATTTCTTGTTGTAAATTAATATGTGATAATTTGAAATAATAAATATGTTAAATTAAGCTACTTTTACTTATTTTTCTTTTAACTGGAAGACAAACCGTAGGAGAGGGATAACCGATCCCATATTTTTAAACCGATTGTTTTTCGTATCTTTTGACTTTTGGGCTTTGAAGAGGGAAATTTAATTACATAATTTTCTAAAACATAACACAAAAACCTCTGAGGAATGAATTTCAACTGAAACACCTAAATTTTTAATAAATTTATTTACCCGCCATATTCAAGTAGAGAGTTTCAAGCGAATTCGAAAATTTTTTTTAAAAAAGTCCACTGTATTTGATCCGCCATTTTAAATTTTGAAAAACTGATTTGTAAATAACAACCCCCAATTCAGCGTACCCAAATTAGGTTAATACAGTATATGTTTAGTTTGATTCCAAAAAATGTACCTTTTTCGAGTACAGTATAATTTTTTTAATTTTTACGTTATTACCAAATTTTGATATTATAATATGTTGAAAATGTTTTGATAGAAAACAGTTTGGTAGCATAATAATTAAATTTTAAGTTAGTAAAATATAAAATTTTGTCAAAAGTTCGTTTTGTGTATGGAACCCTATGTTTCAGTGAGAATATATAATCCGCACTTAAAAGATATTTTATTCTCATTTGAAAAATTGTTAGTTAAACTAAAAATAAAAACAAAGAGCGTAATTAAGTCAAAGATTAAAAATAAATCTTAATTATTAAAACGAGGCGTTAACCACCAGATTTAAAAATTTCATTACTTACTTTGCAAGCACCACCTCCCCTTCTTTCCTTCCACCATCTTGTTTTTAACGTATGTAGTGTTCCTTCTTCCTGAAGCTTTAATATTGCACCACTTATAGCAGTCCTGTATGGCGAATCTACAATTTAAAATTATAAAGAATATTAAGTCAGATTTATAAAGTACAAAACTGTTGGTATATACAATGAGGCACAAAATTTTCAAGAATTTAAACGAACACTATTAAAACATGTTATTTAAAAAAGATTTGTGAGCAATATAATGATCGTTTATTTTAAAGGTACAATTTTTTGACAAATGATTTTCTCGACAGATGGAGCATAAGTTAGACTTTAAATAAGAAACGAAAATCTAATTTGTATTAATAAAATCAGACTTTTGTCGATACATTGCTCAGAAGCCGAAATTTTTGACATAGTTTGTCTTTTTGAACAACAAACAGTCCAAAAATGTCCATAAAAAAGTTATATCTGTATGTATGTATGTCTGCAATATTTTGTTCCAGCATCACGAATGTAAGAATGATATGACCGTTTGAAGTTAAACTTTCCAGTCTCTTAGGTATTAGCCCATCTTAAAATCTTAGCAATACCCGATTAAAAAATATTGATTTTATTACAATCCATATAAATAATGATACGATAACCTTACTGAAATATGTTGTGTTATGTATGTAGTCTTTTCATTGTTTTAAAAATAAAATTAATACATTGGTATCGAACGTTAAATATTATTTAAAAAATTTTTAAAATAATATTCAGAGAGTTTCTTAGAGTAAGAAATTAATTCAATTGAGGCCTTGTAAAAATAAGAAAAAATTTGTTTTAACCCATATATAGACCACCCTAATCGATACGGTTTGAGAAAAAATATTTAAAATTTTTTTAACATACTTGGGGGCATGGCAATGCCATATCCTTTTGAGTCCAACAATCCCCCAACTTGCGTCAGTTCACAGTTTCTCTCAATTACGTATTCTATTGATGTGGATTCCATTAAAAAAGCGTAACTTCCCTTTTCTTTCACAACTTTGTTAACACCTTCTACATTACTTGTAGTAAATACAGATGCTGAATCCATAAAGGACCACATTCGTTGGTACGTTGAAAAATTGGAATCCTGAATAATATGTATTATTTAGTGTGAAGTACTATTTTAAAATGGGGTAGATATGCTTTTTATGTTTATAAATTGACATAAGGTATTAAGGTAGGAAGTGTTATCACTCATTTTAACATTTTTAAATTCAATATATTGAAAACCTAGGGTATTATTTGAAACCTTGTATCATATTAAATAATTTTGTACAGTAAAGTTTTTGTTCTGCACTGAGCATAAAGAATTTGTAAATCATTTTCTGATAGATGTTTTCTTTGCCTTTTCGAGGTTTAAACATTAAAAAATATCAAAACTAAAATTTTTCCTTTTTATTTCTACAAAATAAAATTTTTTAACAGAAATGTCACCTTGAGAAAGAGAATACGTTCACTTTCCAATTAGATATCTAAGAAAACCCGTAATTTTCTGTGTTTTTACTATTTTTGTATTTCAATAGCAAAAATTAATATTTTTTAACGTTCTTGGGTTCATTGAAATGGTATTATGTTATACAATTCAAATTATTTAAAATAATTAATATTCACATCCCTACTGTTAATTCCCATATGAGATTCTTTATAAAATCGCTTATGGTTTCTTATATAAGATTCTATGCGAAATCTTATAAGAACATCTCGTAAGAAGAATCTCATCAGTGTTCATATCGGATTAAATATAGGATCCCATTTGTGGTCGAAATTTGAAAAATAAAATTTGTGAATATCTCAAAAATGGTAAGAGATACGCAAAATCTGACAAAATTTTGAGTTCCTTTTATATGAAACAAAAATATTTTATGTTTAAAACCTAAAATATGTCTCATATTTAAAAAAAAAATAACCACTACATATTCCCATGTGGGACACTATATAAGATCTCCTATAGAATCCTATAAGGACACTCATGAGATTTTTCTCATAAGTGTCCATATAGGATTCTCGTAAGATCACATGTAGTATCTCATATGGGAAACCATAAGTGATCTTATACGGGCTCTCATATGGGAATTTACAATAGGGATCCTTCTTCACGTATATAGTGAAAAATGGATCAAAAAGAGTTTAAAAAATTATGATTAATATTTAAATGACAGACAATGATCAGTAAAGTGTGTAAATCTTAAATTTAATTATGGGATAAAATTTCTGTAGCGTACTATGTGAAAAAAGTTGGTCAGATGGGACTGTAACTTGCACATAGTTTAGCCCTACGGGTGAGTACATAAATAAACTTTTACAAGAACATGTAAATTTTCTTGTATACAAATATTAAATATATTTATTTGTACAAAATCTTGTGTAAGATCTTGTAAAAGATCTAATACATGTTCTTACCAGAACAGACACAACTTTAGCTGCTAAACATGTACATTTTCTTGTACAAGATCTTGTACAGAGATTTTTAATAGAGTTTAAAACCTCTTAAAATAAGTATTTCTTTTTAAAAATGTTTAAATAGGCAATATACCTTTATTTGGTAGAAGAAAATTATATATAATCGAAAAAAAACTTTGACTATTAATATAAAACATTTAATTTTAAATATAATATAAATATATTATATATTATATTATAATCTTATATTTTTATTCAAAGTTATTCTTTTGATTATACTTGCTGTATATGTTTACAGCGTGTTTTTATTAAAAATAATTAAATAATCTTCATTTATTATTTTGAAAAACAATTTTTTCTTGAATTTTTTAAATTTTAAACATATACAATACATGTTATTCATTACAGTGAAAGTGACCTTAGCTCTAAACAAATTTTGAGTTATGTTGAGTAAGTGTGTTACCTTGACTAAACGTTTATTTTAATAATTATGTTAAATCAAAATTAGTTTTTATTGAATATTTTTGATATAATAAAAATTTGAACATTAGTGCTGAATTACGTCACACTGTAAGGGGAAGGGGGGTCAGTAAATTTGTGACAACCATAAAAAAAATGGCGCTAATGTACGCAATAGTGTGTGACATGGGGTGGGGGGATTAAAAAGGGTTAAAAATGTGTGACGTAATTTATGGACGAACCCTCATTTTAAACAAACACAACAAATCTAACAACAGTTTGTTACCTAATTAAAATATAATGTCTATTAAAAAATTCTAAAGAAGAATTACATATTTTAAGAGGCATTAAATTAAAATAAAGTAACTTTAAACGTAAAGGAGACCCATTTTTCATTTAATGTCATTTAAATCAAATCTATACTTTATATTTACCAATCGATTCGTTTCAATGAAAGGAATGTTACGTACGTTGTTCTCAACAGTTATTTTTAAATTAAAGTATGAAAGGTTCAGAAGGTAAGACAGAAATTAATCTCAATTTAATTTATATATGTTACTGCATTGATTGCTTTTAATAAATACAAATTTAGTATCTAAATTTTATGTATAATGATTAAAATTGTGATTAGTTGTTTTTCTTTTAAATTTTTCATTTGGTAACATGTATATTTTAAAAATAATTAAGGGGAAAGAGCGAAAGTAATCCCGTTTTTGTTTTGCCTTCCTGGGCGTCTTCTGTCGATTAGACCTTGCGGCAATGTTCTCAACAAAATATTAACGGATGTAGCGATTGATAGCATTGAAAATGTTACAGATGCCACGAGAAACATTGCGTCAATGTTCAAAATCTATACTCTGTAACGTTGCAATTATGATCAACTATTAGCTTCCTCGGCCATGGTGGAGAAACGTGAAGCCCCCTTTATAAAATATATTGTAATCAAATAAAAAGGGGAATAAAACAATATATTGTAAACTATCTTAAACTCAAATTAGCAAAATATTACAGATAAATACCTCAAGGATCCAAGAGTAACTCTTATATTTGATAGAAGAACTTTGACTGCCGAGATTAATTTATTTTCAGCTTGACTGATGCAGCCACATTGGCGCTCATAGGCAAACCAATAAACTCTCAGAAGGAGCGAGTAGAGTTTTAAAAGCGGTTTGAGGATCGAGATGCAGCCGAATCCATAATCTTTAGATCCATCATAAAATTATGTTATTATATAATTTTATCTATTTAATTACTATATTTTGCACTGCTCCAATAGGCACATCTTCTAATTGTTCCAAGATTAACCGCGCTGCATTGTAAACGGCGCCGGCAAGATCGCAACCCGATCCGATACCTGATAGATTCTTGATCTCACACTTATCGACGGGGTCGCTATTGCGCATTCCAGTGTCGAGTCAGGAAGAAGACCGAGCAATTAGCAATTGATCGACCTTCACGTTTTAGACGCCGTGGTTTGCGAAGGTTAATAGAAATATATAATTACATACTATAATAATTTCAGGTGGCTGTCTGTCCCACATGTTCTATATATATTTTGTCTGTCCGCATGTATTACTATATAAAATTCTTTCTCACCGCATTTGAAGTGTGTGATATGTATCCCTTCCTTATGGTGTCAACTAGAAAGAGAGAGAGAGAGAGAGAGAGAGAGAGAGAGAGAGAGAGAGAGGAAGAAAAAGAGTGGGAGAAGCGGAAACCATTTTGTCAGCCCACATTTGAAGAGTGGGATATTTAGCTCTCCTTTATGGTGTCAACAAAAGAGACAAAAGTAAGAGAGAGATAGAGAAAGAGAAGTGTAAACCAATAAAATTTTTAAATTCTCCCTTCTCTCTACTTCAATATACAAACAAAAAGGAAAATGATTTTCTTATTGGTTTACATAGCGCATGTCCAATTCATTTTCAATATTTTTACTTGATAATAATTAGTTAGAAATAATTTTATTCAGTTTAATAATTATTAATTAAAAAAAGTGTGCATTTATTTAATATGCGGTAGTGTTCAAGTGATTATAAGAAGAAAAAACTTATTTTCATCTGTAAAAGTAAGTACTCTTTTTTTATCAAACTATTTAAGGAAAAAGAAGCATAATAAGACAAAAAACTTTGAAATATAATAAATATATTGCTTAAGAAATTCTTTTCTTTATAATCGCATGAATCCATCTATTTTTATAATTTAAATATTAAAAAATGTCCTCCATATGGTAATATTGACCACTGTCATAGCAACAGTTGCTTTAGAAATCAACTATTGCCATAGCAACTATTGCCATAGCAACTATTGCCATAGCAACTATTGCCATAGCAACTATTGCCATAGCAACTATTGCCATAGCAACTATTGCCATACCAACTATTGCCATACCAACTATTGCCATACCAACTATTGCCATACCAACTATTGCCATACCAACTATTGCCATAGCAACTATTGCCATAGCAACTATTGCCATACCAACTATTGCCATAGCAACTATTGCCATAGCAACTATTGCCATAGCAACTATTGCCATAGCAACTATTGCCATAGCGACTATTGCCATAGCGACTATTGGCATAGCAACTATTGCCATAGCAACTATTGCCATAGCGACTATTGCCATAGCGACTATTGCCATAGCAACTATTGCCATAGCGACTATTGCCATAGCGACTATTGCCATAGCGACTATTGCCATAGCGACTATTGCCATAGCGACTATTGCCATAGCGACTATTGCCATAGCGACTATTGCCATAGCGACTATTGCCATAGCGACTATTGCCATAGCGACTATTGCCATAGCGACTATTGCCATAGCGACTATTGCCATAGCGACTATTGCCATAGCGACTATTGCCATAGCGACTATTGCCATAGCGACTATTGCCATAGCGACTATTGCCATAGCGACTATTGCCATAGCGACTATTGCCATAGCAACTATTGCCATAGCAACTATTGCCATAGCAACTATTGCCATAGCAACTATTGCCATAGCAACTATTGCCATAGCAACTATTGCCATAGCAACTATTGCCATAGCAACTATTGCCATAGCAACTATTGCCATAGCAACTATTGCCATAGCAACTATTGCCAAAGCAACTATTGCCATAGCAACTATTGCCATAGCAACTATTGCCATAGCAACTATTGCCATAGCAACTATTGCCATAGCAACTATTGCCATAGCAACTATTGCCATAGCAACTATTGCCATAG